AAAAGAATAAAATGGCAGTGTTGTACAGGGTGGATTAAACTGAGGAGAGAGACATGTGACAGACCACCTAGGAGGTTATTATAGTCCAGAAGGTCAGTAATAAAAGCCTGAGAGAAATAAAGTTGAAGAGGTAGATTCATGAGAGACTCTGAAGGAAAGATAGACAAGATCTGGTAACTAGGCTTGCATCTGGGAAACCAGAGACATAAATGAATGTAAGGGATGTCTCTTAAGGTTTCAACCGGAGTGCACTGAAAGATAATAATCTCTTCAAGTTAGAGATTTACTAATCTATAATTCCCCCATGTGGCTAGTGGGAAATGAGTTTTAGTGTATTGCAAAAACCTTAATATGAATTAATATTTTTTTATGACTGTCCAAAAAATCTGAAGTAGTCATAATCTCAATTTAATCATTTATCCAACAAATACTTATGGCTTATATACTATATGTATACTCATATACTATATTTTTAAAACCTGACTTGGACATAAACATTTCCCGTGAAGCTTTTTAAAAAAAATCGTGGCCAGGCACAGTGGCTCATGCCTACAATCCCAGCACTTTGGGAGGTCAAGGTGAGAGGATTGCCTGAGCCCACGGGTTTGAGACCAGCCCAGGCAACTTGGCGAGACCTCATCTCTACAGTAAATTTTAAAAATTGGATGACCGGGCTCAGTGGCTCAGTCTGTAATCCCAGCACTTTGGGAGGCGGAGGCAAGTGGATTGCCTGAGCCTGCAGGTTTGAGACCAGTCAGGGCAACTTGGCGAGCCCTCATCTCTACAACAAATCCAAAATTAGCCGGGCATGGTAGCGTGTGCCTATAGGTCCTGGCTACTTGGAAGGCTGAGGCGGAAAGATCACCGGAGCCCAGCAGGTCGACGCTGGGGTGGCCGTGAGCATGCCACTGCACTCCAGCCTGGGCAATGGAGTGAGACTCTGACTCAAAATTAACTAATTAATTAATTTTAAGAATGGCCAGGGTTGGTGACTCAGCCTGTAATCTCAGCACTTTGGGAGGCCAAGGCAAGTAGATTGCATGAGCCTGCGGGTTCAAGACTAGCCCAGGCAGCTTGGTGAGACCTCGTCTCTATAATAAATCAAAAATTAGCCAGGCATAGTAGCACACGCCTGTAGTTCTGGCTACTTGGAAGGCTGAGGTGGAAGGATCGCCAGAGCCCAGCAGGTCGACGCTGGGGTGACTGTGAGTGTGCCACTGCACTCCAGCCTGGGCAACAGAGTGAGACTCCAACTCAAAAAAAAAAAAAAAATCCTTTCCTGGTTTTTGTTGTAGTACAAAAAAGAACTATCTAAAAGTTAGAGACAAAAGTCCATTCAGAGATAGGAAAGAATGCTTCAAGAATAGTATTCCCTCCAGTCTGGGCAGCATAGTGAGACTCCATCTCTACAAAAAATAAAAAAATTAGCTAGGCATAGTGATAGGCGCCTGTAGTCCCAGCTGCTTGAGAGGCTGAGGAGGGAGGATTACTTGAGCCCAGGAATTCAAAGGTACAATGAGCTGTGATCATGCCACTGCACTCAGTCTAGGCGACAGAGCAAGACACCAACTTAAAAAAAAGCCAAGCGTGGTGGCTCACGCCTGTAATCCTAAAACTTTGAGAGACTGAGGTGAGAGGATTACCTGCACCCAGGAGTTCAAGACCAGCCTCGCAACAAAGCAAGACCTCGTCTCTACAACAGATCAAAAAATTAGCCAGGCACAGTGGCAC